TTTCCCCTCCCTCCCTATCCCCCCCGTTGCTATATAGTACCCGGAATTTTTCTCTGCCGGACGCTTCACGAAGAAAGGACCAACCCAGAAACAGGTAACTGAGTGTTTTCCATCATGATTATTGAAGAAATCTGTTATGGTAATGGTGAAATAGTAACCTGGAGTCAGCTGCTTAGTCTCAAAGAAATAATTTCTAAATGCACATAGTGTGTGCCTGTTCAGATAGCTTTGACTATTTGAATAATCATGCCTTCTGCTATTAGACAACAAAGTAGGTGGAACTCCTGTGAGGAAAAAGCGGCTCGTGTTGCTGGGTCTGATGTATTTACCTGGGTGGCTCACGGCGCTCAGTCTGTCAAAGGTGATGACAGAGGGAGACTGAGTAGCAAAAACCCAGGACTGAAAGCACTGAGAGAGTAGATGGACTTTAGAACAATAAGAGTTCCAACAAAGTGGAAGTGATTAAAAATTTAGGTTGTACCTTTTAAGCAATAACTGAGAGTAACTCCTCTCGTGTTTAGATAGTTCATGGTATTTGGCATAATGGAATACTTGTAATTACTACTTGTGCTTGCGTGATATAAGTGAGTTACTGTTTTGGTGACCAGGCTTGTCTTGTCCACTACAGATTGACGGAACCTCTTTTACAATGACTTTTTTTGGCGAGGGTTACAGTGAGGGGCAAGATCCCCAGAATGGCAAACCGAATGTAAAGATCTGCACTGAAGTGAAAGCACCAGGTGTGTACATTAGTAGCAGCGAACGGCTTCTGCCTCGTGTTCCCTGCTCTAAAATAGGTTTGTGGTTCCGCTGCTATTCCTTCCACCCTCGAGGAGCACTTGCAACATGGACAAAGACAAGAGCCTTTACCGAGTATTACCTTGGCTACTAGCATTCATTGTGACTGGGTTTTGGAGATAGCCAATGCATTTGCGTTCCTGTCATTCTCTTTCCTTCTGACCTTCCCCATTCCAATTTTCATTTTTGCAGAGTGCTTTAAGGATAGCTTTCAGTTGTTACAGCCTGGACTTGCTACCTGTTTATTTCCAGTCCCCTGTGAGTGAACTGAAACAGATCTGGGACGGTATCATTTCTAGCTAGAACATACTTGGGTTCAGATCATCCCTTTGTAGGGAGATGACACCTGAAGTAAAGTTGGGAGAGAGCAAGAATGCATGTTCAGAAAGGAGTTAGTGAAGCACAGCTTCTTTAAATAACTAGAGATGTAGCTGAACACAGCAGTCTTACAGCAAAAGTCTGAATTTAAGCCTTGCTTAAAAAGGGAAAGCTCTTGCTGTCACAGAGAGCCCTCTGTCACTGTGAGGTGATTGCTCATGGTTGTTGTGTGGTTATAGGCCTGCATTTGAAGCAGTGTTTGTCCAGATTAGATCTTAAGGACTTCACCAGCTACTTGGGATGACTACAGGTAAAAAAAGCTGTTCTTAAAGGGGGAAGGCTGTTTCATTGCCGAAGAGATGATTCTTCAGCATGCTGTAGGTAAGAGCAAGATGGAGTCTACATTTTAACACAGCGTACGTTGTTTGTTTTTTTTTGTCAGAGCCTGGCTATGTTACTACATCAGTTTTAATGGTTCAAGCAGCTCTGTCTCTTCTGGAAGATGCAGCTTGTCTGCCTAAGCAGTAAGTACTTGCCCATGTAGAACAGCTCAGTCTGCCTTAAAGCTTCTGTGTGCGTATGTTTCTCTTGGAAAACGCAGATCTTGGAACCCTGTGGATTTCTGTGTTACTTCACACAAATGGCTGTGCAAGGGAGATACTTCACCACAAGCTGATCTAAAGCCGCTTACTCTTCATCTGCCTTTCAGTTTGAAAGGATGTAGTCGTAGGTTTTTGGTAATGCTTTTGCCGCATCTGTTGCTTTGGTGTCTATATTTTCAGTTAATGGAATGGTTTCTATTGAGTTTGGATGCAGAAGCGAACCTCTGACTATAACCAGCTTGCCAAATTCCTCATATGCTGTCCTGTGGGACAAAGTGGCTTTTTCTTTCTTAGGCAGGAAGGCACATCTTTGACTTCAAAAAAAGGGGTCGTCATTCAGTTGCTGTACCACTAATGTTTTTCTCTTTCGATTTTCCTTGACAGGGGTGGTGTATATTCTCCGGGAGCTGCCTTCTCTAAAACAAAACTCATTGATCGCCTCAACAAACACGGCGTTGAGTTCTCTGTTATCAGCAAGCCTGAAGTCTGAAGTCAAAACGTAACTGTAGGAACTAACACCTTTTCTGAGTCTAACTCCAACAAAACTCATTTGGCTGTAAAAGCCGAGTTGTAAAATAGTTTCACTGTGCTATTGTTTACAGCAGAAACGGAAGAAAAATTGAGTTAAAAATTATAATGCTATTTGCTATAGTGAGCAAACCCATAAAGGGTATTGAGTTTTAATTCACAGGCCTATTAAAGTAGTGACTTACTGGGTACTAGTTCTAGAATTTTGTTTAATCTTTCCATCTACATTTTAAGTTACTACTTAATGGAACCACTATAGTGTTTGATGAGATATATATATATATTTTGCTGTATCAGTAGAGCTTCTAGAAGCTCTGAAAATTACTCTGAGATATAAAAAGCTCTCCATTTCCCTCACATTCACTATCCTTATTATCAGGCAAATCACATGCAGACTGTTGCTCTATAGTAGCATAGCTGCATTGAAGACTGCCTGATGGAAGCAGTTCACTATGTGGTGATGCTTCAGGGGCTTCTTCCCAGGTTTGTGCCTTAACCGCACTATCTTCAAGAACCTAGAGTTAAAAAACGGCTGTTAATGCACTATTGATGACCAAACAGACTAACTTCCAGCTGAGCTAGATGAGGCTGAGGACAGCAAAATGCTGCTTTTCCTTTCAGATCACCACTGACTGTAAAGTTAGAAACATCCAGCGCACTCTCTACTGGAGAGAAAAGTTTATGCGTTTAAGGGATGGAGAACAGAGCATTCAGTCTCTGCAATCACGTGCTCCATTTCTGATATTTCTGTTCATGCCTAACGATTTGCCACCACCCGTGAACAAAGTGAGCAGTTTTACAGTGCAAGCTGTATACACAACTGGCAGTAGTCATCCCATTGCAGTACTTTCGGGACTGACTACGAATCCACACAGAGTGACCGACTCTGCATCTAACAGGGTAAGATACAATCATTTAAGATACAAAGTTTGAAGTTTCAGTCGCGATAGCTGTGACTGCAATGTTTTGTCAAACTGGTCAGGTATCGCATCCCACAACTCAACCCTGCGCACTAAGGAATCACTGGGATTGCCTGAGACAGCACACGTATTCTGTGTTGCTGAGGCGAGCAGCTCTGGGCCGGCACAGTCAGCAGCGGAGGGCTCTGGCGTGGTGCACAGCGGGGTTTCCCAAACCCGGGGAGCCTCGGGGGAGCTGAGAGAGCTGCCAGAAGCCAGCAGCTGACAAGACCTGGCTGGGGCCAGGAGCGATGGCAGCCAAGCCCCCTCCCCTGTATAAAAGAAGCCCCTGGGGAGCGCTGCCAACTGGGCGCGGTGGGGCAGTTTGTGGGACAGTTTGTGCATCAGGGCGCTGAAGCTCTGCCAGCCCAAGCAGAGAGCAATGGGCTCCACTGATGCAGCTGCCCAGACAGAGGTCTGGTGGGAACACACTGCCACCCAGGCGTCAGGCTGCAGGGTGTGGCCTGCTTTTAATGCCAGTACTGGCCGGCAGCAGTGAGCACACCTGTGGGAGGCGTGCCCAGGTCGAGGGATGGCTCCTCTTGGAGCTCCGGGAGGAGGTGTGTAGACTGTGGAGTATCAGGGAGAGCAAAGGAGAGAGAGAGACTACTGGAATCGCACCTTACCTTCTCTAAGACAGGCCAAACATGCAGACAGGACACATGACACAGAGGATCCCCTGTCCTCTTTCCGCCTGGCTCAAGGCAGTGACTTAAGGGACAGGGGGCAATGGCGATGAGTGCCTGTCCGGCGCAGCAGACGCGTCTCCTCTGCGACTGCCCCTGCTTCCCAGGTGCCCTTGCATGATAGATATAAGGCTCTGCAAGTGGAACCGAACAATGACGAGGACGATGGTTCATCCAGCTCAGAGGTGTTGCCGAGGTTAAGTTGGCCCATGTCCTGCATCAAAATGGCTTCCATAGAGAAAAAAAGATGTTTCATTGCCATAGGAGACTCTCCTGAGGGGAACAGAAGGCCCAATATGCAGACCAGCCCCACTTAGGGAAGTCTGCTGGCACCCGGGTTAAAGACATGAAGAGAACGCTCCCTACCATGGTACGGCCCTCAGCTTACTATCCATTATTGATTTTTCAGGTAGGCGGTGATGAAGTTGCAACAAGTAGTCCGAGGGCAATCAAGAGAGACTGCAGGGCCTTGGGATGACTGGTTAAGGGATCAGGAGCACAAGTAGTGTTGTCTAGCCTTCCAGTTGCAGGGAATGATGAGGGAAGACACAGGAAGAGCCAGCAGATCAGTACTTGGCTCCGAGCCTGGTGTCACCGGCAGAATTCAGGGTTTTTTGATCATGGGTCGGTTTACACGACACCAGGCCTGCTGGTGACAGAGGGGGTACACCTGTCTCAAAGGGGGAAAAGGATCTTCGCAGAGGAGTTAGCAGGGCTCATTGAAAGAACTTCAAAATAGATTTGAAGGGGGAAAGGGATAAAACCAGGCTCGCTGGGGATAAGCCTGGGGGCGGTGTGCCAGTGTTTGAGGGACTGTGTGCTAGCAAGGTCCTTCAGTCTGCCGTCTCAGTGGAGGTAGGGGATGGAGAGCCATGCGGCAGAAAAGACGCAAGGGTTATGGATGTATTGGAAACCACGGAAGCACCTGAGAATGGTCACGTAGGAATTGGGGCTTGTCCCCTCAAGAAGGTGGCGGGATCAACAGCCCAATTGAAGTGCGCCTACACTGATGCACACAGCATGGGCAACAAACAGGAGGAACTGGAAGCCATTGTGCAGCAGGAAAACTATGACATAGTTGTTATCATGGACACATGGTGGGATGGCTCACACAGCTGGCGTGCTGCGATGGATGGCTATAAACTCTTCAGAAGGGATAGGCAAGGAAGGAGAGGCGGTGGGTGGGGTAGCCCTGTACGGTAGGGAATGTTTTAGTGGTCTAGAGCTTAATGGTGGTGATGACAGTGTTGAATGTTTATGGATAAGAATCAGGAGGAAGGACAACAAGGCAAATATCATGGTGGGAGTCTGTTACAGACCACCCAACCAGGATGAAGAGGCAGATGACATTTTCTATAAGCAGCTGGGAGAAGTCTCACAAGCGCTAGGTCTTGTTCCTGTGGCAGACTTCAACTTACCAGATATCCTTTGGATAAAAGACACTAAAAACATCACCTATCAAAGGATCAGAGACATACCAACAACCTTCCTGTTTATATCCTATTTACAATGAATAATTACAACAAATATTTCAAATTCTATGTATTTGAATTTATGTATTTCAAATACATAGAATTTGAAATATTTACGAGACGAATATTTGAAATTCATGAGATAAACATAAGAGGACTCAAGTTCTTAATTTTTTTCTGTATTGCTCCTAGTGCACCTGCAGAAGCCAGACAATACCATTGCAGCAGCCTGCTGCTACATCCTTTCCTGAAGCTGCTCTGCTGTGTTAAAAAGTTTTAAAGATCCTCTACCTCGTGTGTCTGTCCACTAGGCCTAACATCTTGATACAGCTGGTGAGTGAGCCAACTAGGCAAGACGCCCTGCTCGACCTGTTGTTTGTGAACAGAGAAGGACTGGTGGGTGATGTGATGGTTGGAGGCCGTCTGGGGCATAGTGATCGCAAAATTATGATAGAGTTTATGATTCTTGGAGAAGTAAGGAGGGGGGTCAGCAGAACTGCTACCTTCGACTTCCAGAGGGCAGACTTTGGCCTGTCTAGGAGCCTGGTTGACAGAGTCCCTTGGGAGGCAGTCCTGAAGGGCAAAGGAGTCCAGGAAGGCTGGACATTCTTCAAGAAGCAAATCTTAAAGGTGCAGGAGCAGGCCGTCCCCGTGTGCCGAAAGACGAGCTGGCAGGGGAGATCGGCCTGGCTGAACTGAGAGCTTCAGCTGGAACTCAGGAAAAAAGGAGAGTTTATGACCTTTGGAAGAAGGGGCCACCAACTCAGGAAGATGGATGAACAAGGATGTCGTGAGGTTCTGCAGGGAGAAAAGCAGAAGGGCCAAAGCCCAACTGGAACTTAATGTGGCTACTGCTGTAAAAGACAACAAAAAATGTTTCTACAAAAAAAGTTTCTACAAATACATTAGCAACAAAAGGAGGGCTAAGGAGAATCTCCATCCTGTATTGGATGTGGGGGGAAACACAGTGAGAAAGGATGAGGACAAGGGTGAGGTACTTAATGCCTTCTTTGCCTCAGTCTTTAATAGTCAGACCAGTTGTTCTCGGTGTACCCAGCCCCCTGAGCTAGAAGACAGGGACAGGGAGCAGAATGAAGCACCCATAATCCAAGGAGAAATGGTTAGTGACCTGCCACACCACTTTGACACACACAAGTGTATGGGGCTGGATGGGATCCACCCAAGGGTACTGAGGGAGCTGGCGGAGGTGCTCACCAAGCCACTCTCCATCATCTATCAGCCGTCTGGGCTAACTGGGGAGGTCCCAGTTGACTGGAGGTTAGCAAATGTGATGCCCATCTACAAGAAAGGCTGGAAGGGGAACTACAGCCCTGTCAGCTTGACCTCGGTGCCGGGGAAAGTTATGGAGCAGACTGTCTTTAATGCCATCACGCGGCACGTACAGGACAACCAGGGGATCAGGCCCCATTAGCACGGGTTTATTAAAGGCAGGTCCTGCTTGACTAACCTGATCTCCTTCTGTGACAAGATGACCCACTTAGTGGATGAGGGAAAGGCTGTGGATGTTGTCTACCTGGACTTTAGTAAAGCCTTTGACACCGTTTCCCACACCATTCTCCTGGAGAAACTGGGTGCTTGTGGCTTGGATGGGCATACTCTTCACTGGGTAAAAAGACCGGCTGGATGGCCAGGCCCAGAGAGTTGTGAATAGCATTAAATCGAGTGGGCGGCCGGTCACAAGTGGCGATCCCCAGGGCTCAGTACAGGGGCCAGTTCTGTTTAATATCTTTATCAATGACCTGGACGAGGGGATCGAGTGCACCCTCTATAAGATTGCAGATGACACCAAGTTAGGCGGGAGTGTTGATCTGCATAACTGTTCCCAACGTACTGCTTCCAAAAGGACTGTACATACAATAACCACATGCATATTGAAAATACCCCCAATGTGAATCCAACAGTGTTTGTGTTAAACACTTCGGTGGTTTAATTTTAAAC